CGGGAGAGGAGGGTGGGGGACGCGCGACATGGAAGACCACCGACGCTGGCGCTACCGTGGCGCATCAGCGCGCAATTTTTGATGATCAAAGTGCCCAATTGGTATTGTGGCGCTTGATGCGAGATTTTAGGGTTTGCGCGAGGAGGACCCGCCATTCGTGCTCCCTCCCCTCCCTCGCTGCGCTCGGGGGGTCCCCCGAGCCGGGAGCACTCAGGCGGGCACTCTAAAGCCTCGTTCGCGCGATAAATACAGACGGCCTCCCCTCTTGGGGGAGGAGGAGTTGTGAGCAAAGCCTAACCCAAACCCAAGCCCAAACCCGAACCGAACCCAAACCCGAACCCTAACCGAACCCTAACCGAAACTCTAACCGACGCGTATCACTAAGACCGCGTGGGTTGGGAGGTTTGATACCTCCCTGGCCCGATATCCCAGAGGTTTGCAAACCTCGTTGTAGTCTCTACGTGGCGGTCGGGGAACTGGCATCCAGATTGTGGCTCGAACCTGCGCAAAGGGTGTGGCCCGCTAGATCTTGCTGGAGAAGGTCCGCAGAACCTTGTATGGGCGTTCAATTGGCCGCCGCCTCTGAGGCGGAAGAGCATGAGTCATATATGCCCTGATTGCAGAGTCAAGCGAGATCCAGGGACTCTTGACATATGGTACGGCAGCTCGTTGACGTACATGACCGCAGGACAGAGGCGTGGCGGCGAGAGCCTATTCTAGTTACATCTAGCCGGATGTAGCACGAGGCTACCGCCTGTGTACGAAGCATCGAGCGCTTTTATTAGACGGGTGGGAGAGACAACGCGTCGGAAGACGTACTCGGGTTTCACGATCATCATCGACTGGGAGTGTGCACGTTTGGGCCGCACAGTCATCGGGACTCGTGCGGTCTTCGCGTTCCGCGGATGTGCAAAGGAGTTGGGCCGAGTGGTGGTCATGTGTGACGTTGAGTCCGGGCTAGACCGACACTGCAAACAGCCTTTGGTCCGATATGGGCACTGTGGTCTTGGTAGCTGCCTCATACCGCCATCGTGATGTTGACCTGACTGTGACACTGTATAAATGGGATATTCGGACGTCCGATTCAGCGCTGTTGATAGGCTACGGCAGACTAACCTATGCTTCGAATGGGACCCTGCGCGGACGCCATCTAGCTGACGAGACGAAACGGTGCACAAAACTCCACCCATCGCGTGGCAGGAATCTTAGAATATTTGTCACCTTGTAAATGAATTCGCGAGGAGTTATGCAGCATTGCATGGGGTCGTCCGAATTCTACACGCAATTCACGGGCGCTGGAGCGTATCGAGTGCTAAAAGGAGCCTACGGGTACATAGTAGCACTAGTCGAGGTCCTCACGTTCACCTGACCATCATGGCTTCATTGTAACAGACTGAACCGGTGGCGCACCGGTATGACTGAGCAGATGTCGCCCTGCTCGTGTCGCCCTTGAAAAGCTTCATTCGTCTACGGGTACTGGTTCCGGAAGGTGCACCGCATTGACGACAGGGACGGTTCGCCCCGGCAAGGAGCAACTTCGGAAATGACGCCGCTTGCCCGCATACGCAGATCCCTCTTGCCCTTGGAACGTCTTTGGACGACGCGAGTCGGAACGCTCTCGCCTAGACAGGCACCGAGAGGCACTGCTCGCTGCGGCAGGTAGTCTCCGAGATGTTGGGTATAGTTGCACGTTTGTGGAGCGCTGGGATCCTCGGTCCTCGTGAATCGCACCCGTATCTGTCCGTACAGACAGCGAAATGGGCGGATTAGTATAAGGGGTAGGGCGATCCTGCGAGCGGTCGGTGCGTACCAGTGACGCCACCAGCGCGGGAGGCACCCGTACTGCACGCCTGCCATGGTGCACCCCTTGGGACCCGCGTAGATCGTTCACAACGACGTCAAAAGCGACCACGCCGATCCTCATCCCGCAAATCAGCGAGAGGGCTCGGTCCGGGCAATCCATCCGTTTGAGAGTCATTGATCGAATTTGGCTGTGTCCTGGAAGCCCCATGGAGGGGCGATGCACGACTCAGCCTCTGAGGGACGCAAGAGGGTCAGCTTGTGAACGTGGCTTGCCGACGTACGTAGATCTCTCCAGCACGTTGAATAAGCGTCGAAACGCCGTCGTCTTGACAGGCACCACGACTTGGTGCACGCACTACTTACGCGCACTTTGGCAGTGGGGAATCATGACTGGGACGAAGTCTCCGGAACGCCGGGTACAGATGTACGTTTGCGGAGTGCTGACCATCCCTCTCCCCGGTCCGCGGTCACGCGAATCGCACCTGTATCTGGGCCGCGTGGACGGTACGAGGAAGGGCGACACCGGGGCTGCTCGGACCACCAGTGCGAGGAGCACACACCCTGCATGTACATAGCGTCCGATTTTTTGACTGGAGCTTGGCCCGACTCGGAAGCCGAACCTGACGCAGCACGTCCCGCGCACAGACTTCCCTCTGTGGATCACAATTCCGCCACGTTCTCGGAGCTCGAAGGAGGAGGGTGGGGACGAGGCGAGGAGGGCATGCGGCACTGCGTATGGAGGTACGGCTCTACACTTCGAGAGCGGTGTGAGCCTTGGAGGGCGCGGTGACCCCGAAACCGGACATGCAGATCCTGGGGTGGTGCTGGGGTGGGGGAGCGCTTCCCGTACCATGCTGAGGCCACCATCAGGCCGCGTCCGGGAGTTCAAGCTGGCTCGAGTTCAGGAGATGCGACGGGCAACCCGACCCAAGAGCGCGCAAGCGAGTCAGCGCACTAGAATGGACAGCTGGCGGATTGTGCAGTACCTCGGACAATACGATGCCTGGTGACTCGCCAGGTTGCGGGCATGCCCACGGCGCTTGGGTCGACTCTGTCCCTAAGTGAAAGGTGCTCGTGGGATTGTTGGCCTCCTCGAGGCGAGCACGGAAGACGGCCTGATCGACTCCGACGCATCATGCTGGCTTGCAGCTCTTTCGGTGTGTGCCATATGTAGTGACTGGTAGGAAATAGGTGACTGCGAACACCGCTGCAGTGCGCTGTGTGCCGCAAGTTCCTAGAATCAGAAATTAGGTGACCAATATCAGCGGGCGCGGTACTAGGTGTGTGAGGGGAACACTGACCGGCGGACATCCCATTGCAGCCACCTGGTCCCACTGATCGGGACAAGGTGGGACGGGTGGGGGGATGTTATTTAGTCTGTAAGAGGTCTGTTAAACGTGCTGTACTCGTGGTCGCGGAAAGTATTCGAACACCCGTGTTTAGGCGCCCATTGACCGCTTCTCCTCCTGGTCCTGTAAGTAGTATAAGTAGACATATCTCTACCGTAATTGAGGTATATATTGCTGTTATTGTCAGGAACGTGTGCACACCATGTGATAGGAATATGATCTCTATCTTGAGCCAAACTAGGCTCAACAAATCTCAGCATGCTCAGTGAGCATGAGCAGAACATTTGCTATTCTTAGGCGCTGGGAATTGATCAGCATACCTCCATATTCTTGCACATATATCTAGTCATAGAGGAGGGTTTATATAATTAGTGGTTGCTAGCTTTTGGCCATCTCTTTCTTGAGAAAATAGTCCTACAATACTAGACCAGCTCTATCTATAAAGCTAGTAAGACACTTTCTTGCCATTCTTTGGTTCCCCTTATGAATACTGTGCACCCTGTTGTTATAGGTACATGAATAGAGAGGGATACTAATCTAATCAGAACTCAAGTCTCTAGCTTTAGCTATGGCATTGGAGAAATGCCCAGCAGAATACAATATCCTTGAACCACACTTACTTTCGACTTATATTAGTACTAATCTTTCCAAGCAGAGGCATAGATACACCATACTTTCTAATGTTGTAGAATCTCCCATATGAGCAGAATCATGCGCAAGAATTTGGAGGTACTCTGACCAATTCTCAGTACCCAAGAATAGCAAATGTTCTGCTCATGCTCACTGAGCATGCTGGTATTTGTTGAGCCTAGTTTGGCTCAAGATAGAGATCATATTCCTATCACATGGTGCGCACACGTTCCTGACAATAATAGCAATATATACCTCAATTACGGTAGAGATATGTCTACTTATACTACTTACAGGACCAGGAGGAGAAG